AAAAGCTGCGATATTATTGATGAAGAGAAAAAGTGATTAGGGTTACATGTCTCAAGATATTTATACTATGGGAATCTGAATGCTAAAGTAAGAGTTGCTATTGATATAGTAACAACTTTAAGCATAATGATAAAATACATGAGATGACCTAAAATACATTTTATTCTAATGATGGACAAGATATAAAATATGAAATACAACTCTAATATCCCCCTGCAAGCTAAGCATGCACATTGTGCATGTGAAGCTTGGACTGCAAGTACTCAAACTGAGGTCTGGGCAAAGCTTTGGTCAAGATATCAGCTGGTTGCTCCTTGGTGGGGATGTATTGCACTGAAATCAGATGTTGAGCTATCTTTTCCCTTATCAAGTGGCAATCAATTTGTATGTGCTTTGTCTTCTCATGAAAAACAGGGTTTGATGCAATGGATAATGCAGGTTTGTTATCTGAAAACATAAAAACAGGACCCTTATGAGTGATATTGAAATCTTGAAGCAGGTACAGTAGCCATTGTACTTCACAGGCAGTTGAAGCAAGAGCTCTGTATTCTGCTTCAGCAGAAGACCTGCTTATTGTGGACTGCTTTTTGGACTTCCAGGAAATTAAGGAATTTCCAAGGAAAATAGTGTAGCCTGTAACACTTTTCCTGGTGTCCAAACAGCTGGCCCAATCACTATCACAATAAGCAGTTAAGGAAAGATCAGAAGACCTGGAGAAGAAAAGACCCTTACCAATGGTTCCTTTGACATACCTTAGAATTCTGTGGGCAGCTGAGAGATGTTGAGAAGAAGGTTTAGCTACAAATTGACTCAATGTTTGCACACTATATGCTATATCAGGTCTAGATATTGTTAAATATAGAAGTCTACCTATGAGCCTTCTATATTCAGATGCATCAGTTAATGTATCAGAGTCATCAGCATATTTTAACTTTTGAGTGGCATCCATTGGTGTATGAGATGGTTTAGAAGCCATAAAACCAGTATCCTCTAAAATGTCCAATGCATACTTTTTTTGACACATGTTAATACCTTTTTCAGAATGGGCAAACTCTAAACCAAGAATATATTTAAGTGTACCCAGATCTTTAATAGTAAAACATGAATCTAAATGTTGTTTAATGGCTGTGATTTTTGTAATATTGTTACCAGCAATAATGATATCATCAACATACACCAATAAAGCAATGAAATCAGAATTATCATTCATGGTGAACAAAGAGCAATCAGCAACAGATTGAGTAAATCCATAAGCAAGTAAACAGGTAGTGAGTTTGTGAAACCATTGTCTAGAGGCCTGTTTAAGGCCATAAAGACTTTTAATAAGTTTACAAACTCTCTTATCAGAGGCAGAACAATACCCAGGTGGAGGAGTCATATAAACATCCTCTTCTAAATCACCATGCAGAAATGCATTATTGACATCAAGTTGGTGTATATGCCAGTTTTTAAGGGCTGCTAATGCAATTAAAAATCTTACAGTAGAGATTTTTGCAACAGGAGAAAAGGTATCAAAATAATCTATACCTTCCTCTTGGGTATAACCCTTAGCAACTAATCTAGCTTTGTATCTTTCTATGGATCCATCAGCTTTATATTTAATTCTAAACACCCATTTGCAGCCAATGCAGTGTTTATCAGAAGGTAAATCAATTAGGATCCATGTTTTTGTTTGTTCTAGGGCTTTGATTTCTTTATTCATAGCCTCTTGCCATAAGGGATTTTTAATAGCTTGAGCATAGGTTTTTGGTTCAGTATGACAAGTAATAGATGCAGTGAATGCACAGTGATTGTCAGATAATTGAGAAGTAGAAAGATAATTAGCAATGAGATATAGAGATGTCCCAGAAGTGGTATGAGAATTAGTAGAGAGAGGAGATGTTAAATGGGCAGCATTGGATGAAGGTAAGTTATGCTCATATATGCTGAGGTATGAAGGTGGTTTAGTAGACCTTGAGGATCTTCTTCTGATAGGAGAATGATTTGTAGAATTGTTGTTCTGATAGTGATCTGTATGAGACTGTAGAGGTGGTTGATTGGTTTGACTGTTAGTTGGTGGGGACTGTGGTGTAGGAGCAGTGGTGAGAGATGTAGGTGTACGGTCAGGTATGTTAAGAATAGGATTGTCATCATATGGGAAAGAAAGTGGTTCAGGAAATAAAGGAGAGGGAGAGGTAGGACTGTTTGAATCAAAAGGAAAGACATTCTCATAAAAGACCACATTTCTGGAAATCAATGTTCTCTTGGTTTCCAGGTTATAAAGTTTATAGTCTTTATAACCAAGAGGATAACCAATGAGTATGCATTTAGAGGCTCTTTGATCAAATTTGGATCTATGTGCAGTTAAAGATGATGCATAACAGAGACATCCTATGACTTTTAAATGATCATAAGATGGAGGTTTGTTATAAAGCATTTCAAAGGGTGACTTATTATTTAAAATCACAGAAGGAACTCTGTTGATGATATGAGTGGCAACTAATATGCAATCAATCCAAAAAGTCAGAGGTAATGATGCATGAAATAACAAAGCTCTAGCAACTTGAAGAAGATGCTGATATTTTCTTTCAACTCTACCATTTTGTTGAGGTGTTTCAACACAACTTGTTTGGTGAATAATACCATTTGATGCATAAAAATCAGATAAAATGAATTCAGAACCATTGTCTGATCTTAAAACCTTTATTTTGGAATTGAACTGTGTTGAAACAAGATTGTAAAAATTTGATAGATGATGCTTGGTGTCAGATTTATGCAAAAGAGGATATATCCATGTTACTCTGCTATAATCATCTACAATAGTGAGAAAGAACCTATGACCAGAATGAGATGCAATGGAAAAAGGTCCCCAAATGTCACAGTGAATGAGTTCAAAAGGTGCAGAACTAGTAGATGTGCTAGATTGAAATGGAAGCCTCTTTTGTCTAGAATAATGGCAAACATCACAAGGAATATGCTCAGCATGTTTAAGTGTAGAATTGTAAAGATCAAGTTTATTCAACTTTGAATATGACAAGTGACCAAGTCTGTAGTGCCAAAGTTCATTTACAGGTAAACAAGTAGTTACATTTGCAACTGCAGAGACAGGATGAGTACAAGAAAATGAAGATGGAAAAGAAAAATGATAAAGTCCATCTTTAAGATCAGTAGAACCAATCATTTTGTTGCTGATCAGATCCTGTATTATACATTTAGATGAAATGAATTTGATGCCACAGTTAATAGTTGCCACTAGTTTAGAGACAGATATCAAGTTAAACTTAAAAGAGGGAACATGTAATGCATCATGAAGGATGATGTATGGAAATAGTTGAATGTTTCCCATATGAGTAGCAGTGGCATATGATCCAGTGGGCAAATTAATGTTGACAGAAATAGATTTAACATTATCAGTAAAGAAAGAACTATCACAGACCATATGATCTGTGGCCCCAGTATCAAGAATCCAAGTAGCAGCAGATAGTTTAGATGACACCATACAAGAGTAGTGAGAAGATGTACCTGTATGCTCAGTGAAGGCAGTGGCAATGACAGGATTGAGATTTTGATTACCAGAGGTAACATTTCCCTGTCTAGCTTCCTGAGCCTTTTTGAAAGCTACAAACTCACTAAACAAACCATCAGTCATGGAATGTGCATCAAAAGAGTTAGTGGTAGTGGTTTGTGGAGGAGATTGGACTATGACAGCATTAGCAGAAGGAGGTTTTCTAGGACCCTTAGGCCCTATCCAGTTGGGTGGGTATCCAATCAGTTGGAAACATCTGTCAGATGTATGGCCAAGGTAGCCACAATGGGAGCATTTAGGCTTGGGAAATTGTTGAGATGGCTTGGGATCTTTAGCAAAGGGTGGTTTATATGTTTTGTAAGACTGTGAATTGGATTTTGCTGCCATAGCCACAGGTTCAAGGGTTTTAGTTGTGTTTGTCAAGGTTCTTTGGCTTTCTTCTTGGAGCAGGAGCGAGTAGACAGTAGATAGAAGGGGTAATGGTGTGGACATAAGGAAGTGGCTACGGAGAGATGAATATGAATCATTTAAACCAACCAGAAATTTCA